GAGCTCTATGGGCAGCGCTGCACTTGCTTTATTTATTAATATAATTATTATTTTTATTAGGGATTTTCTCGGTTCCAATTTGGCTTTAGCTATTGCATTTTATTTTATTATTTTTACTGTTAATTTTTTGGGGGGAATTTTTTTATTTTTGTTTGAAAATTTTCGTTCTTTTTTTTTTTTTGTGGCGAATTTCTGGGCAAAATATTACACATACGCCCTGTGTGCGCCGTGGCCTGCGACTGCTGCTGCCTGGCGGATATAACGGAAATGTGCAACTGGCAGGCAACCAAAAACAGCCGCGTAGCGAAATTGTCAAGCAGAAAAGCCGAGAGAACCCACCGAGAATCGAGCACCGGAGTGCAGCGAGTGCAGCGTGTGTGTGTGTGTGTGTGTGTGCACTGAGAACCGCCGCCAAGAGCTTGAGCAGCACAAAGAGAAGTGCAGAGCAGAGAAGAGCAGAGAAGAGAGGAGAGGAGATGAAGGAGGAGGCCAAAGCCAAAGCCAAAGCCAAATCCAGAGCTGGAGTCGCGAAGCCAAAGATTGATGCAAAAAAAAAAAAATAATAATAAATAACAACAAAAAAACAACCCAACTAACACACAAATCGAAGCACACACATCGAAAATGAAAACGAAGCGAGCGGTGCTGCAACATTGGCAACATTATGTGGGTTTTCCTGGCCAGCAGCACTCTCAAAAGCTTACTCTTATTATTCTTTACTTTACTTTTGTGTTTTTTCCCACTGTTCTGTCAAGTGTTTATTTCATAAATGTTTCTCCCATGACAGTGTTGTGCCACTGTTGTTTACTGTTCAGTGTTTGTGTTGGCCAGGTTGGGTTTTGCCTCTGTTAATTGTTGTTTATATCCACAGTCATTGTTGCTTATGTTTTTACAAGTTATAGGGGACAGCTTATAAAGGGCAACTAATAAAGGACAAGTAAAAGCGGACACTTATTAGCGGACATCCAATAGCGGACAGCTAACAGCGGACAGCTAAAGCGGACAGCTAACAGCGGACAGCTAACAGCGGACAGCGGACACTTAATAGCGGACATCTAACAGCGGACATTTAATAGCGGACAGTTAATAGCGGACATCTAATAGCGGACAGCTAACAGTGGACAGCTAACAGCGGACAGCTAACAGTGGACAGCTAACAGCGGACAGCTAACAGCGGACAGCTAATAGCGGACAGCTAACAGCGGACAGCTAACAGCGGACAGCTAACAGCGGACAGCTAACAGCGGACAGCTAACAGTGGACAGCTAACAGCGGACAGCTAACAGCGGACATCTAACAGCAGACAGCTAACAGCGGAAACTTAACAGCGGACACCTAATAGAGTAAAAATAACAGAGCATACCGGATAATGGACACTTAATCTAGACAACTAACAGAAGACAGCGGATAACAGAAAGCGGATAACCGACAACTAACATACGCTTCTAACAGCGGACAACCAGTAACGGACAACGGACAACGGACAACTTTAAATGGACAACAGTATTTGTTATTATTATCAATATTGCATTATTGATGTTACTGTAATATGTATTTTCCAAGTTTCATATTTTCCTGCACTGTTTTCAAACAGTTTATTCTAAATTAATATTAAATTTATTACATTTTCTGTTACATCGTTTTGGTATAACTTTAAATATTATTTATTATTTGCTTCCTTAACATAAAAAATCATTATGGAAAATGCTGTTTTTTATACCCTTGCTGGGAATTTTCATATAAATCAGTGAAGAAGTCATTTCCAACCCTATAAATCATATATATTCTTAATCAGTATCAACAGGAGAATTTTTCTTGGTATCTTTGGCCATCTTAAGGCATCTGGATAATAGCTATTGTGGATCTAGAAGTATCTTATTAATCTCTGAATTAATTTCTTTAAGGTGGTTGAAATTTTGATATTATAATATATATATATATAATTTTATGTTATGTTATGTTATGTTATGTTATGTTATGTTATGTTATGTTATGTTCTAATGTTATGTTATGCTCTAATACTACTGTTATGCTTCTGCAATGTTGCTTGTTACATTGCTCTAATGTTGCAAGTGATGTTGCTGCAGTTTTTGGCTGTTGCTCTTGGCTTTTGGCAGTGCCAACATCAAGTCTAAATGGCTTTTCTCTCTCTTGCAAGCTTTGCTACTGCTCTTTCTCTCTGTACATATCTCTCTCTCACTCTCTCTCCCTCTCTCCCTCTATTTCTCTGTTTCTCACACTCTCTATGCCCCACTGTCTTGCATCATAGGCTCTTTTTCAGGTCTCCCCACAATTTTTGCACATTTTGCTTGTTTAATCACTAAAAAATATGCCGTCCATTAACTCTCCAAAGTCCGCCTCCCCAAGTAACCCCTCTAAGCTCTGTAAAGCCCCCTCCCCCCTCCCCCCCTGGTAATCCCCTAGAGAATCCCCGCCACCTAATACACCTCCTCCTCCCATCTCTTCTGCAAATTTTTGGGTTGCACTTTGCAGACGCAGGCAGGCAGGCATCGGCCGAGTCAACCAACTTTAGAAGGTCATGTGGACTTAGCGCAGGCGAATATCCTTGGCTGATATTGGAAATGCATATAGCATACATATATCGTATATATATACATATATATATATATATAAAGCTTATATATGTGGCTGATGGTGTATGTACTTTTGTTTATTTGTTTGGCATTCGCGCTATTGCGTGCACTTTCTATGCAATATTATTTACAGGAATCGACTTTGGGCCAGGCCAATTGCAAACTGAGGGGCAAGGTGGGGATTTTGGCCACCTTGTTAGCCAAGTTGTCATAGAGATACAAAAGCATATTTAGTTTTTGGAGCTGGGGGGAGGAGATGGTAAAAAAGGAGACAAGAAGTAGGAAATCATTGTGAATTTCTCTCCATTATTTTTTCCCCCCCATTATTATTGCATCTGCCACCGATGACGCACATTGCTTCATCTCATTTTATGCTGCTTCTTTTTGCCAATTAGCAAGAAATTAAGCTTATAAGTTAGGGTTTTTCTAATATAGATTACAAGTAAATTGATTTTACTTGGAAATAATGTTGTCTATTATAGTTTTGAGGAATTTCTTTAGCTATATTTTTAAAGAACTTTGATATTTTAGTTGTTTTTTTAGGTCATTTATGGATTTAAGATAATTAAAGTATTATAGTAGTTGTATTTTAAGAATTGTATAAATACTAGATATATAATAATATGTTTTAGGGCCTATTAGATTGATTAATAAAGAAATTTCTAAAAGACAATTGCTATGAAATATTTTTTATGTGGTTTTGTTTAGATAATTTATTAAATAGAGGTAAGTAATTTCAGGAAATTGCAATTAAATCATAGAATCGAATCGAAAATATATCATAATTAAGCTTAAAAAATTCGCATTTATATTGATATTTTTATATGACAATTTTTTCCATATACCAAATTTTTTAAATCTCATATCTCTGCGAAAAAAGCATTAATTTTGATTCGGAAAGCTGTTTTATGTTAGTTTTCATCAGGTTAATAAATCTGCATACTTAGTTTAAAATTTTATAAATTTAAAATTTTATCAATTTTTGTATATTTTAACAATCTATTTTTTCTGAAAAAATTTAAATTTTTTGAAAAAAAAAATTTGTTTCTGCCGTAGGTGTCTAGAAAGATTCCTTTTTTATGCTGATCAAGAATATATATGCTTTATGGGGTCGGAAATGACTGCTTCACAAAGTTTTATGGTTCTGACTAAAATTTTAATACCCTGGAAAGGTTATAAAAAATGTGTTTTTTTTTTTATTTAACTATATATATTTATATCTTTTTATTATCCATCTTATTATCTATCTTCTATATAAATTCAAAGCTTGGCGGTCTCTGCTAACGGTATCCACAAGTGTTATAGCTCTAATTGCCAGTCATCAGGTTCAACAACTTTCACACAGAAATCCTTGAACGCCATTTGCATAAAAAACACCAACTGCAATCTGGGCAGCAACAACAATATAAACAACAACAACAACAAAAAAAGGCAGGCAGCGGCGAAGCAAACAACAAGATTACGTATACGCCACCATTGCAACAGACGTTAGAGAGTGAGCAAGGGTGACAGAGGGAGATAGCAAGAAGTAGAGAGAGAGAGCGAGAGAGAGGGAGAGATGGAGAGACAGCTATAGAGAGAGAGAGAGAGAGATGTGAGAGAGAGAGGGGAAAAAAGAGGACTTGTGTGCAGCAAAAGAAAAGTTTTAGTTATTTGGGCTGTATTTTCCTTGTATTTTCCTAGTTTTTCTCTTCTTTTTTATTTTATTTTTTTTGAGAATTATTGAGGGCAAAGTTAATGGTACTTTGGCACTTTACACACACACACACACACGCCTCTAGATTTTTCCAATATTTTCTCAACTTCATTTAAGCGATTTTCCCCCCTTTTTGATTATTATGAGGTTTTTTATTATTTGTTTTCTTGACTTAATTGGGCAAACATATTGTGCCAACGAATGTCAAGTGAACGAAAAGTTCATGAGAAGCCAAGCAGAGAGAGAGAGAGAGAGAGAGGGGGGGGAAATCAAGAGGTGAGGGGGCAGTGGAGAGTGTAAAGTCTGTCTGGAAAAGTGCAAAAAACAAAAAAAAAAAAGAAGAAAAAATGCTGACAATGTTCTGCCAGTGGTGCTGCTGCTTCTGTTGTTTGTTTCTGTTTCGGTTGCTGTTCTACTCGCATAATGTTTCTGGGTCACATATATAAATATATATATATATATACATATCAGCTCTAGCTATATATATATATATGTATATATTCCATACGATATAACCCAAGCCAAGCACCTGTAGAGCATACTGACTCTGACTCTGATGACACCCCATTTCAAGCCATCTATTGGCCATAAATCGAAGTCCTTTCAGCGCTCTGGCTTTGGGCCATAAATCAGGCAGTGTTAACCCCCTCGTAACCCTTAATTAACCCTTTACGAAAAAAAGAAGAGAATAAGTAAGTAGAAAAACTCACCTTATAAAACGAAAGTCCAACGCTGCAAAAGAAATGCCTGCGTCATTCCCTCTAAGAACTGCAAAAAAGATATATAAAAATATAGATATTGATAAGATCAGTATTTTTGAAAAACCAGATTTAACTTTATTCTTATTTAAATGAATTTAAAATGGTAAAGAAATGTTTATTAAATTTATAATTTAAGCTAGATTAATAATGACAATAAAAAATAATACTAATTTCTTATAAAAGGTATACCTCTCTATACCTGGTAAAAAATCAGAGAGAGTGAGGAAATAATGATCAATTATTTTTTTCCTTTGATAAAAAAAACCTTTTTACAACTCAAAATTAAATGATTACAGTTTTTATTGAATTTTAGAATTATTATTATTTATATTCTGCAAATGATATATATCTCTTGATAGGTTCCGTATAGTTTGCTCTAGTTTTCGATATTTTTTGAGACCCATTTGGAGGGTTCTTGCGTAATCCAGATATTCTATATAGCCGAAAACTGGGTGAGCTGCTTGTTTGTCGGTCAAGTGAAGTGGCTCGTTCAGTTTTGTGCTGATATATATAACATATATATATATATATATATATCTCGGATTTCCTACTCAAAGGGAGCAAGTGACGGTACTGGGACTGGGCGGGAATATCAAATTACCCCACCGCGCTTTTCCTAATCCCTCCTCATTTCGCTTTAGATTCTTTTCGTATTCTTCTTCTTGGGCATTTTATTTATTTATTTACTCGCTTTTTTTTTGTTTTTTTTTTTGTTCGTTTGGCTTTTTTAGGTCAATTTTGACAGTTGCCGCCGACAGTAAGTGACAGACAGGCAGCAGCAGCAGCAGCAACATGAGCAACGATTGCAGTTGCCGAGGGATCGATTTGAGGCGACCGCGATTTGAGTCCAAGTTGTCAGAGAGCATCGATGATGATTTTCATCATATTCATGGATTTTCCACACACTCCCCCCCCCCTCTTTTAAACCCCACAAATTTGATGGGCAACGGGCGCTGGGCCAAGAACTTGAAAATTCATGTGGGTGGGTATGAGGTATGAAAATCTTTTGCTGCTGCTGCTGCTCCACATTTGGTTATATCTTCAAAGTAAAAAATTAAATAGAAAATTGACAAAGGAAAGGCAATAGAAATTTTCACAAGTATCCAAATTTTTATAAACTTATCAATTGAAGAAAGTTACTAAAACAAGTTCATTCTCAAGAGATCTCAACGAAGCAATCTTCTAAAGCTCACAATTTACTTCAAAGGGAGTAAAAAATCTTTTGAAACTTGAAAATAACTTTAAAAAAAAGTAAGAAAGCTAATCGTTATCTGAAGTCTGAATCGAATCGCTAATACCCTTACAAGGGTATTAAAATTTCAGTCTGAAGCATAAAACTTAGAGAAGGAATCGTTTCCGACCCTATATATATATTCTTGATCAGAGTCAAAAGACGAATCGATCTAGCTGGGTTTGGCTTAAATTTAATTTTTTCAAAATTTTGAAAATTTTATATTTATTTTATATTTTATTTTATCGTTAAAATTGTAAAAATTGACAAAATTTAAAATTTTTTAAAATATTAAAATGAGTATGCAGATTTATTAACCTAATAAAAACTAACATAGAAACGCTTTCCGATTTAAAATTAATGCATTTTTGGCTTAGTTATGAGTTTTTTAGACTTAGATTTGTCAGAAAATTGCATTTACAAATATAAATATTAGTTAATATAATTTTAGTCAGAAGCTTCCAATGGATTTTTAAAATTATAAAATATATAATATATATATATATATATGCAGATTTATTAAATAAATAAAATCGAGCATAGGAAAGTTTTCCGAATTGAAATGAATGCTTTTTTGGCTGAGTTAAGAGTTTTTTAAACTTTGATTAAAATGTTTATCACTACCAAGTATATCGATTAGTTGGAATATTGAGTATTTTAAATATGCTATTTATAATTTATTCATTATCCATAGAATAGAATTTTTCCCTCCGAAAAGCGAAAGCCCATCGATCTTCAAGATCTTCTAAAAGAGACTGTGTGTACGTTCGTCATGCTTTCGGCCAGCTCTATTTATGTTAGCTGGTGACCTATATATCCGCCGCCACCCTCCGTCCCTTTTCCGACGTCCCTTAATTGAAATGCACTCAAAAAAATAATTATTGAAGAAAAGATATAAGAAATACATATTTTTATAGATCGATTTTAGGGAGAATTTAGTTTAAGCCTACTTAAAACCAAGAAAAAAATCTTGAAAACATTTTGAATACTTTTGAAATTAAATGAAGAATTAAAAATTAATACTTATTATTAATATTTAATATTATATTATTATATATAATATAATTTAATTAATATTATATGATAAATCATATAAAATATATTATTTCCAACTGGAAATAATCATTTAGAGTTCTGTATCTAATATTTCTCCCTGTGGACAGGTATTTGAAGGCATTGAAAGATCTTTCTGTATGTTTGCCCTCGCACACACACGAAAATCCAAAAAAATACACACACTCGCACACACACACACACACACACACACACACACACACACACAATCTCCTCTAGACGACACCTTCAACATATCCCTGGACGCGTATCAAGTTGAAGGTTTATTTTTGTTTACAATAATTTTTTGTCGGTTTATCTGTGTGTTTGTGTGTGTGTGTATTTGTTGTTGTTTTTTAGTGTTTTTTTTCTAACAATGAGAAGAACAACAACACATACAAGCCACACACACAGAACGCCCGCACATCCAACAAGTAGGTCGCCAGCGTTTCGAAATAGAGGAAAAAAGTTGCCCCCAACCCAAAATAACAACAAAAAACATGAAAAAAACAACAAAAAATAAAAAGAAAGAAAGAAATGTTTCTCTATTTTGTTCCCCCAAGTTCTGTGTGTCTTTATCTTATCGGCAGTCATCGGTTTTTTTGAGTTCTATTCCCCAAAAAAAAGAAAAGAAAAGAAAAGCACACACAACAACTTAGTTTAAACAAAAAATTATTTCCTACTTTTTTTTTGGGTTCTTTTGGGTAACAAATTTTGTTTGTCTACACGAAAAACAAAAACGAAAGGTTTATAGTATCAGAAAAATATATAAATCTTTGAAGTGGGAAATTTAAAGGAGACTAAAAGAAGTAGTAAATTTTAATCTTAAAATCAATCAAAAAAGAATTCTCAATTCTTCTTAAAAAATATCAGGCTTTCTTCTGATTCTTCTTATAAAAATTATTTTCCTTTAAATTATTATTTTAATCTAGAAAACATTTTAAGAGATTACTGAAAAGTTTATTAATTAATATTTGAAAGAAATAAGTCAAGTTATTTTCTTAAAAATCTATTTTTTTCACAGCTTGAAATCAACAGAAAAAAAATACTAATACAATTCTACAAAAACTCAGCTTTTTCTCTGATTCTTCTATCAATTTTAAACCTGAAAGATACTTTTCTGAAAATATTAATAATTAAACTTCAGCAGAATTAAATTCATGGAAATACATTTTTTACTAGCTTAATATACAAAGAAGATTGCCATAATTCTTCTTTAGGAAACACAGCTTTTCTACAGAATCTTTCGTATAATCTTTTTTTTTTTTTTTCAAATTATATCATTATACCCAATTTTTCGCCCTGTGTAAAGCATGTGTGTTTGTTCATATTCTTGAGCAGCCGGCATAAAACATCAACAGAGAGAAAGGGAAAGAAGAAAAAAGAAAGAAGAAAGAGGGAAGAGAGTGTAGAGTGCGGGAGAGTGTAGAAATGGGGGAAAGACCCCAAAAGAGACGACGGGAGATTCTTCGCCTGAGTTATGATGATCAAGTGGGGGTCCCACAGCTGATATGGGTTGATGATGGAGAGTGGAAAGTGGAGAGAGGAGAGTGGAAAGAGGAGTGTAAAGAGTGGAGAGTGGAGAGAGGAGAGAGGAAAGTGGAGAGTGGAGAAGCACTGCCGGAAGAGAGTGGAGAGTGCGTGTGTGTATGCGTATAATAATAGTACATATTTCTTTTCTAGCGATACAGATAGGAAATAATATACTTATAGACAAATAAGTACCAATACAGACACAGACGCTCCGCTCTGGAATCTGGGTCAAACGTTTTTTTTACGTGTATTTGCTTAGCTATCGCCTCCCGCTCCCCCTCCCACCTTCGCCCATTCTTTGGGCTTCTAGAAGAGCTACGCGCTATTTATTATAAACCATAATTGTGCGACTTTTAGTCTTATTTCTAATTTATTCTATTATTATTAATTCGTTAATATTAGTTCGTTATAGATTTTTGCTTTAAATAGTTATTCAATTATTGGATTAAATCGGAAATCGATCAAAAAAGCTTAAAATAATCGATATTTGACAGAGATACCAAGAAAGATTTTCCTGTCAATGCTGATCAAGAATATATATGATTCCTTCATTGAGTTTTAAGCTTCTGACTGAAATTACAGACCTACAGCTTTTTGAACTATCTTTTTAGTATATTAATAGGATTTAATTGAATTTTGGAACTTTAATTAATCATTCTTTTCTTCTAACTTAATTTTGCTTAACTCTCTAATTTTATTTTTAATTGTGCATAAACAATCCCCCACAATTCTTTACTTGCTGCCATTTCTTGTTGGCCTCCAGAACAGCAGTCAGAGTCAATGTTAAGCAAACTCTGTATATATCTTAATATGTATTTACTATATATACTATATAGTATATATAGACATCGAACGCACTCCGATCTGCGTTGTTATTTATAACCTGAAACTGCGCATAACGGAACTTGGCAGCGACAACAACAAGAACAGGAACCATAACCATATTTTATGATCACTGATCGATAGTTAAAATAGAGATATACCTTAATAGATATACCCTAGAGGTAAGAGGGAATAATTTTGAAACTAGATATAGTAATATATATAATATATATAGAAATATATAAAATATATATAGGACTATAAAAGGATTATATATTAGAATATATAAATATTAGATATTATAAGAAGTAATAAGAAGGATTCAAAGGTTTTATAGAGTTAATAGGTTTATTCGAGTTTATACTATACA